GCAACTCTGTAGTTTCAAGTAAGCTTGTCCCTATTAAAGGAATTATTTGCCTTGTAATTTTATTCATCTTCACTTAATATGTATTCAACATTACTCGTAGCGTTCGATAATAAACTTAACTTAGCAGGCATAAGAGTTATCGAGTCCTCACAAATATGTCCAAACTAGTGTATATTGTTTAGTCACATTTACAATATGGCTGGAAACCGACCATATAGATTTTTATTAATTATTAAGTGTCTTTATTCGCAAGACTCGGACATTTGAAATAATATCTATACTGGAAAGTAAATGTCGAATTTGTGCGTGCACGCACATCATGATTACGAAATGTTTTCTGGTATAATAGTAGGTCGAAAGGAAATTAGGGAGGGGTCCTTTGAACTGAACCGTGCAGATAGATGCGGAATAACTAGTTGGTGTTTGTGCGATTATCATAACTAATGATTGATGGTGAGTGACATTGGTCAGAATCGGTCTAAAATTAGCATGCGCTCTCACTTTGTTTTCCTTTGACCTGTTTTCTGAAATTATCGTGCATATTTTATTCCGTAATGTTCTACCACCACTGGTACTGTTTCTAGTGCTCTGAAATTTGTTTTGGTAATCACATCTCCGTGCACTGATATGGCGTGTCAACTCGAATCAATGCATATATGGGCTAAGTTCTAATTTGCTTGTAACTAACTGTTGAGGTAACAACGATGTCTGTTCCCCTATTTCGAATTTCTCTATTGATCCATTGTCAAAATACATACCTGGTATGTACTTAGTTATATCAATTTAAGTGTCAATGATAACCTGGATTTTAAATCTGTAGTTTGCCGCTTCGTATATCTTATAGTGAAATCTCGTAATATAAAGATTAACAGATTCTTCAATTAACCATAATTCTGTAATCGACATGTATGAAATAGTGTATTCGTCATTATTTGGATTGCCAATGAAAAAGTTCCCAAAAAGGTTTTGATATTTCCTGCGATAAAAATACTTCATTTTACCTTGTTTCATCTGAGGCTTATATAGTGGTTCAAAACGTACTTAAGCTACTATCGGCTTCACTTAATTAAGTGGTTTTCAAAAAGTAACGGATACTCACAATTCGCGCAAGGGTTAGTCTTAGATCTAAATATTACATCAAGCTTATTGTAACTCAGTTTCAGTTTGGAAAGGACAGGAGGCTTGATGACCCGTGTTAGTCCTGGCAATGGTGGTCTCTCAGTTGATCCAACTTTCTTTTGGAAGAGTCGACGGACGAAGCCTCAACCACGTGCTGAGGTAATAAATACCGCTCGTTGATGATTCGGCGGGAACGTTGATAGTCAGCTGACAAGTAATTTGTTCTGGGCTTGTGAACGTTTTTGGAGTGTCCTCGTGAATTCTCTGTTTTGGAAGACAAGAAAAATGAGGGGCATATCAGGTGCGAATTTGAAAACTGTAATCAAATCGCCTCCAGTTCTACGATATGACAACGGTAATAGGTTTAGCTTGGCCAGTCGAGCATCATACGGAAGCTTCGCTATTCCGGGAATTAGCTTATTTGCTGTCCTCTTAACCTTTCCCAAAAGCTCACTGTCGTTTTTTTAAGCAGGGGCTAGCCACTTGTATGCAGTACTCAAGTTTAGGACGTACGAACACTATACAAAGTCAAAAACGTTTTAGCGTCGACATGTCTAAAAACCCTATGTATTGACCATGAAGTCCTAAAACCTTTGGCAACTATTGCGCGGCAGTGTGCAGTAGTCTTTAAGTCTTGGCTAACGATGACTTCTAAGTCATTGTGTATGGACAACAGGTAGCTCAGTGTTATTCATCGTGTATGTATCTGTACCTTGATGACCGATATGCATCACAACACATTTGGAAGTATTTATCGGCAACTGCCAAGTTTGAGACCATTCAGATAATTTCTCCAGGTCATTTTGGAGTTCTAAGCTATCACCCTTACATAGTATCATTCTCCATATCTTGACATCGTCAGCATATAGCAAGACCGATGATGATAGGAGACGAGGAAGGTTATTTACATACAGGAGGAATAGCACTGGCCCCAAAACTGTACCTTGGAGCACTCCACTAAGCACAGTTTCCCAGCAAGATAACTTTGAGTTCACCCGTACTATTTGTTGGCGCCCAAATAGGAAGTCTTTTATCCACATCAATAGATCGCATCCGATTCCGACATTTCTTAGCTTATGTAACAGCCGGTTGTGCGGAACATTGTCAAAAGCTTTGCTGAAGTCATTGTAGGCTACGTCTACAGATAACTTTTGGTCCTTAAGAGCGCACTAGCTTTCGCGAGAGACTAATAAGTTAGTGAGACAAGAATAATCTATTCTGAAACCGTGCTGCTTCTTTAAAAGGATCGGATTTTCATCGAGGTACTTAAAAAGCTCCTTCCGAATAATTTTTTAAGATTTTAACAACCACACCAGTTAGGCTAACGGGTCGGTAATTCTCAGGTTTATGTTTCGTACTTGTTTCGGAGACAGGACTTACTATGGCGTTCTTCTAGTCTTTTGGTAAACGACCCTGCGTTACGGATAGATTAAAGCATATGCTTAAAGGGTTCGCAATGAAGTTAGATAATTCCTTCAGTAGCCCAGGATGCAATTCATCAAGCCCCATGGATTTACCTATGTCAAGCTTATTTAGCAGACCAAAGATATCGAGTTCTTTAATTGTCACGCTATCCAGTGGATGTATAGGGGGATTTGTATGCGCTGACGAGAAGGGCGCTTCTATGGTATATACATTGCTAAAGTAGTTCGAGAACACCTGAGGCTTACCAAAGTCATCCTCCAATAATGATGCGGCAATACTGTCTCCTCATAGAGCAGGAATATTTCCTCTTCTCATTGTCCTTTGGTTTATATAAGAATACAAGCGTTTAGGACATTCTACGGATTCCTTAACAATCTTTTCTTCGTACAACTTTCTAGACCTATGGAGGGTGAAGGCACAGGTATTCTGGACTTTTCTATACTGGGATATAGTTTCATCAGTCCCCTGTAACCTAAATCTATCCCACATTTTTCTTCTCTTACGGAGAAGGATGCGGACCTCCCTAATGAACCATGGTGGAGAGTTTCACGGCCCCCTTCGTATATTCCAAGGGATGTGGCGTGCGGTAACTTTTAATTTTAAATTTCAAAATGCGTCCCAAGCCGTTTCAATTGAGGACTCTGGGTCTATTGTCCAATCTACTAACGATGCTGAGTGCATGATATCTGATATGTTTGCTTTTCAGAAGTTAGGTCTGGATTGGACTGACGCATGCTCGTGACTGACAGTTATATGAAAGTCGAAAATTAAAACTACGTGATTACTTTTACCTAGGGTGGCGTGTAATGAAGGTTCGCAACGTCATTCACATAGTGAGTGAGTATCATATCTAGTAAGGATGATTCAATGTCCGGGTCGTACCTATTCGCTTTTTTCACATGTTGTACTAGAGCACATGTGATAACCGCATCAACTAGTTCCTGCTCGAAGGAATTTTCTGACGATTCAGTTCGCAGATTTTCCCAGTCTACCATAGGTGCATTAAAGTCCCCTGGGATTAGACAAAGACCACTTTGAGACCAAGTACTGAGACTGATTAACAGGATCTCATTTGCCTCACAGCTTGGACTGCGATAGACCAAACCAATCAGCAGCTCTTGTCCCTTGCATTTCAAGCGGCAACTAACTAATTCACACGTCCCACTCTCATGGGATACACTGTCGATAATAGCGAATGGGATAGCATTCCTAATGAATAGAGCTACTCCCACCCTTTACACTTTTGTATTCTGTTGGCCCTTACTAACGTAAAACCCTTGAAATCAAGTTTCATACTATCTATGGACTGTGTCAGCCAGGTTTCTGTGACTGCGATTATGTAGAGTCAATCTGTACACCTAGTTCCGATCGCTTATTGAGCAAGCTTCAGGCATTAGTGTAACAGATCCAAAGCCTATTTAAGTGACTTCGGCATCATTCTCTGTCGAAGCCTTACAATCCGGATATTTACAATTTTTATGTCCTTTTCGCCAGCGTTTTTTCTCGGCTTCCCGTCTTTTCACACGGTGTGCCAACTACAAGTCCTTGCGGATAAAAACTACTGAACCCTTTAATTTATGTCCATTCTGTAAAATTAAGTCGCGTTCATTCGGAAATTTGAATACTACTTTAAGCAATCTGGATTGATCAGGCTTCAAGTTCGCTAGACTACCTAGTCTGTACACCTTTAGTAAGGTGACTCCGGAAATGTTTTGAGGCATGAGTTGATTAAGTAGCTGTTTTATCAGCACATTGTCATGCTCAAAACAAGTTTTTGGTTCAGAGCTTTCACTCTCCTTAATTCTATGAAAAATAGCTGATCTGTCACTGATCAGCCTTCGATTTTTCGACTACTTTTATGGTGGCAGGATTCCGTTTTATATCGTTATGCTGTTTCTTCCTTACAACCTGTACCCATTCGTCAACGTTGCCTGGAGAAGCAACCACAGTCGCGTCAAACATACTGCGAGATTCCGGAGGGTTGTCGACGACTTGGGAGGTCAGGTTATGTTTCCTGCTAGAAACCGACCGAACCTTGCGATTGCGGCTTCTAGGCGTTTCTTGCTGGATACCATTTAGAAGAAGGGGGACAGAAGAAACTTCTTTTCTTGAGTTTTCAGTTAAGACAGACCTCTTTGAAGACTGTTTTTCCTCCTTTGGTCGAAGTGAGTCAGCTGTTTTCGAACTCACCTGAGTTTGCTTCACAACAATTTGCGTGTCGATAGAGCGAGTACTGTCCGATGTGTCCTGACCACGCTTGCCAACACATTTGTTTGCATCTGAACAGCACTGTTGACAAAGCCATACGCAACCATTTTTACTGAACCGTTTGAAAGTCAGAGGCGTTAAATTCGTGCAAACTTCCTGGTACCAGCCTTCGCACTCATCGCGCTGCATGCCGCTTTCAATAGGATAACGACAGCCCGGACGTTGGCAACTGTTTTTTTTGCACTGTCCAGTCATTAAACAGGGGGTTTTTGTAATAAAAAAGAGAACTAAATACAATAATACTCAGAGACAAAAATGATCTATGACCAAAAAAAAAGTGGAAAACTGTGGAGTGTTAGAACCACAAGCACTAACAGATACAATAGAAAACAAAGTACTCAGAAGTACCGACGACAAACTACTTTAGAAACAGAAATGATACTCTAATCGAATACTGAAATAAATTCAACTTATGTGAAAACAGTAGTCTTGATACGTAATAAACGATCAAAACAATAGAATTTACTCAGCGAGGAAAAATACCACTCTCCTTTTACTTTGCGCGACTAAAATATCTATTATTATTATTATTGGTTTTCGGAGCGAGAAAAGTAGTTGCCATAGACATAGAGTTCATCGCGATCAGCTACCGCTGGCGTGGTTGTGTAAAAGACTGCCGCTCCTTTTGGGGTACCTATCTGGACTCTGACCATGCCTTGGTCTGCGCCAATCTTGCCTTACTTTTCAGTGGACAACGAAGTGACCGCCACCAAAGGATTGATATTAGCAAGCTGGTTGCAACTTCTGTTGCAAGTAAGTATCGAACCGAGCTAGCCTCTAGGCTAGCTACCACTCCACCGAAAAGCATAGATGAGCATTGGTTGCAATTGCATGACGCCATGAAAATGGCGGGAACAGTCAGTTGTGGGTTTGCGAAACGTCCCGCTTTTAAGCACTGGGTTTCTTCTGGTTCCTTACAACTCATTGAACCCCGTCGGTCTACTCCGCGTGACCGTGAGTTTGACCATAAACGAAGGATGTTACGTAAGGAAATTGGGCTAAGCTTGCGTAAGGACCGAGAAGCCTGGTGGTCGAAGCGTGCTAATGAGCTGGAAGCAGCAGCTGAATCTGGTAACTACCGGAAGCTCTTCCAGCTCATCCGAGCCACTGGCAGCAAGAAGTCTGGTGTGAGTGAAACAATCTGCGAGGATGATGGGATGCCAATCACTAACATCCATCGACGTCTTGGACGATGGGCAGAATTCTTCGAAGGGCAGTTCAACTGGCCTGCTGATCCGGCAGCATCGGTCGGACTGTCCTACCTTCCATGGCCGGTGACGACTGATCCACCAAACGAGGAAGTCCACAAGGAACTCCAACTCTTGAAGCGTTACAAATCACCTGGCCCAGATGACTTACCTCCGGCTCTTTTCAAAGGTGATGGTGACTTTCTGACTAAGGAACTGACGACGTTGTTTACAAAAGTCTGGGAACTAGTGAGTGTACCAACGTCATTGAATGAGTCGATAGTTATCCTTATCTTTAAAAAAGGTTCACGTCGTTCCTGTAACAACTATCGGTGGATAAGTCTACTTCCGATTGCGTCCAAGCTATTGGCTTCCGTCATACTTCGTAGGTTGTTCAAAACCCGAGAAAGATTGACTCGCGAGGAGCAGGATCGGTTTCGTTTTGGTCGAGGTTGTATTGATCATATCTTCACCCTCCTCCAAATGTTAGAACACCGCCATACTTATCAAAGGCCAACAATCGTAGTGTTTCTTGACATTAGAGCTGCCTTCGATTCGTCGGATAGGACTGTTCTCTGGGATTGTCTATTGAAGAAGGGTGTGTCTGAGAAGTTTATTAACATCCTAAAAGCCCTATATACAAACACCTCAGGCAGAGTGAGGGCATACAACTACCTCTCTCCATTGTTCCATTCGAGCAGTGGGGCTAGACAGGGTCGCCCAATCTCACCATTCCTCTTCAACTTTGCCATCGATTACATTCTAGAAACAGCTCTGATGGATGTAAGTAATAGTGGTGTGGATCTGTTGCCTGGAGAAAGACTTCTAGACCTTGAGTATGCAGATGATATTGTCTTACAGTGTGATAACGCCCAAGCCATGCAATCCACACTTAGTCGGTTGGCAATCAGTGTCCGTAAGTATGGGTATGTGCTTTGCACCTTCGAAGTGCTAAGTACTTCTACAAGACTGAGAGGATTCCAATCCTGTACTCACCCTGGATGGTGAGCAGATAGACGTAGTCGAGAAGTTCGTGTATCTGGGTAGCTGCATAAGTGCTGGTGGGAGTGTGAGTGATGAGATCAATGCACGTATAGTGAAAGCCAGAGTGGCTTATGCCAATCTGGGCCACCTTTGGCGCCTTCGTGATGTTAGTCTGTCTGTAAAAGGTCGGATCTACAACGCGTTGGTGAGAGCAGTTTTGCTCTATGCTTGTGAAACCTGGCCTCTCCGAGTTGAGGACGTTAGACGACTCTCTGTGTTCGATCATCGCTGTCTCCGAAGGATTGCTGACATTCAGTGGCAACACCATGTCAGTAATGCAAAGGCTCGGCATCGTGTGTCCGGGCACAGAGATGATAATTCAATTGGTGTCATCATCTTGAAACACCGACTTCGGTAGCTTGGACATGTTCTCCGAATGTCGTCCCAGAGAATTCCACGTCGTGCATTATTTGCCGACTCTGGGACTGGTTGGAAGAAACGGAGAGGTGATCAGTGCATGACATGGTGTCGTGGTATGAAAGAAAGCTGCAAAGGACTGGCTTGTGTTGGTCCTTCACATAAATATTGGTACAAGAGAGCGCCAATATATATGCGCCACACAAAACAATGAAAATTCGAAGAGAGATAGAAAAAAAAACTAAGGAGCACAAGAGAACGATAACGAAGAGATTGGTGTAAGGTAGTGTGGTCGTAACGATGGAACGGAAAGGTACAATCAAAAGAAGTCTTTCAAGTAAGGGAGACACAACCATTTTTTATGAAGAAAGTAAAAGAAGGTTACAGCAGGATCGCCACTGGCTTCTATTCTGAGCCATATCTGATAACGTCTCTAGCCACTGTGTAGCACCATCTCTCAGACCCCAACCAGGGAGTCGTTTAGATACAGTCGAATTTCCACCAATGACGAGCCGCTGTATAAGTATAAAAGAGGGTGAATAATGTGGAAAATAATAATAATAATAATGACAATAATGGTAGTAATAATAATAATAGTATTAATAATGACAATAATAGTAATGATAATTATTTGAATCGATTGATTGTTTATCGGATCGAGAAAAGTAGTTGCCATAGACATAGAGTTCATCGTTTGTGTGTGGGCTGTGATACTGCCCGGGTGCCCAAACCGAAGCAGGTGGTTATCTTAGGGGGCCACACCCCGAGCCTTTGACCTAATGGTCTAACCCACAAGGCAGTGGAGCATCGTGAGGAGATGCAATCCCATGGTAGCCGGTGACCAACGATTGGTTCATACGCCATTTGTTCCCGCAGGATACTGGAGCCCATGTGAACCATTGGTTTGTGATCCGGTTAAAGCGCCGTACGTTCGCTTTTCGTCCTCTCATTTTCGTAAACAACACCCCCGCCACGAGAAGGCAATGAGTAGGACTTCCCTGGCAGAGGCTGTATACGCGCGGCCGTGTGAGAGTATTTCGAGAGGGAGAGCGGACTCTCCCCACTCTCGGCCGTACCAGGGCGTTCGGGGGCCTAAGAGATGGTGCTACACAATGGCTAGAGACGTTATCAGATATAGCTCAGAATAGAAGCCAGTGGCGATCCTGCTGTAACCTTCTTTTACTTTCTTCATAAAAAGTGGTTGTGTTTCCCTTACCTGAAAGATTTCTTCGATTGTACTTTTGCGTTCCCTGATTACTAGCACATTACCTTACACCGATCTCTTCGTTATTGTTCTCTTTTTTTGCGCTCCTTAGCTTTTTTTTCTTTCTTTGTATTCCTCTCGAATTTTCATTGTTTTGTGTGGCGCATATTTATTGGCGCTCTCTTATACCAATATTCATGTGTCCAAATAAATAAATAAAATATTATTATTATTATTATTACTATTAGTCAATCCCTAGGTTTTATGTCATTTATGAGGACTTCCATTGTTTACTTAGTTTTGTAGTTGGTGGTTGGATCCTTAGTATATAGCCTTAATAAATGATTGTTTTAGAAAAACTTTTATGTGATGAATTTGCGTGTCGGATTAAATTAATTAATAACCTACTCTATACAACTTACACGTGTTAACGGTAAAGAGATACTAACTATTGGAAATTAACGTAATTTCAGTAATAGTTTAATCTTTGAAAAGTAGATTAACGGTTTGGAAAGTCACTCGTGTCAAGCTGATAATTATGCGCCAATAAATAGTTTATGTTCACATTTAGGGTTTTAATGTTTTCGAGTTCTTGTATACTGCTCATAGTTCAGGTATTTCAGTCAATGAAATGCTATTTATAAACTGAAATAACAACTAAAAAGTGTGTTCACTACTTTTTGTTATTTCCAGTTTCAAAACGGAATAGCATTTTTATTGGTTCCGCTGCACAACGTTCCCGTGATGTTAACAAGGACAGTTGTTTTATTCAAGAAGCTGTTGATAGCTCTGGTATTTATATACCCGGAGTAGATCTACTCATAGACGACTCTGAATGTGAGCCCATCGATCTTATATCTAGGTTCAGCAGAACTCCAATGTCTTCACCCAAAATAGTTGACCCCGGTAGCACGATATCATGTGCTCTTGCTGGACCTCTCTCTTCGTCTCATATCTTCAACCAGCTAGATTCCAATGTCGCACAAAGGTATATCACCAATTTGTTTTTTTTATTTTTAAGGCTGATGAAATTACCAACTTGATACTCCAATAAATAAATGAGCTTTATTAACAAACAATAAATTTCACAACCACAAATACTCTGGAAAAAAATGCTTTTCGGAAAATGAAATCTCACAAGATTGGTTTACCACAAAGCAGTAATTTTAATGGTCGTACGTGGTGATTTATACGGCTTAGTTGATTCCAATTATATGTGTAATTCCTTATATTATAAGAACTGTGAGCAGGATTTTTTCACCAAAAATGTTGACTCATTTTCCCATCGAGTTTTATTTTAAAGCTAACTGACTCGGAGTTCTAATGAAACACCAAATTTATGGTGCTGGGGTGTAAAACTACTGATTCAAATTATTTGAAGTAGTTTATGGTTTCTAATGTGCAGTTTGTTTGCGATGTCTTCAAACTGAGTTGTTTACTTAAAATTTGATGACTTTTTACTATATAAAATATTCTGAGACCATATAAACACATTTCCACTATGCGTCAAAATTTATCAACAATGTCCATCAAGTAATACATATTTTAATAATAGTACTTTTGAAGCCTAATAGATAATTCTTTTCACTATCGTAAAGATTATGCAGTCACTAGTATTATCTAATGCTAGCATTATGCTAGAGTAGACTTGTCCGTCCCTACTATAATGATCTGAAAGTTCTTTATATCTCAAAATTTAGAGTGACTTGTATGCTTTGGAGTAAATTTGTTGGAATTACCACAATTTGAGATTACGTACTGTTAATTTTCGGTTTCATAATATCACAAGTAACTTATTGATGAGTCATGATTTATCTTAAACTCTGAGGCATCCAAGCGGCGTCATATTATCAATGAAGTAAATATTTCCCTACCAAATGACTAACTGATTATCTTAACCAAAACTAATTTTGGTTTTACCAGCAAGTTTAACTGTCAAACAGACCTGTTCTTCTCGTAAGTACATTGAGATTCTTGAGTTTTTTTCTCAAAAGCTGAAGAGTATTTCTGTTGGTCTTTATGTAATTATTTTATCTATCTGAATTTTCATAAAGATATTCAGAAATGCTATTGTGTAAATGCTTAAATCTACTATTAGGTATTCAACTGAAGCTTTCCTTTTTTATCTAATTGTTCTTGATATTCAGTACTTCTTTTGTTTGCCTTAAAAAAGACGTACATCTTCGGCCGCTACATCATCGCTGAGTGCTGTTTCTGCCGGAATGGAATTGAGTAAGGCTACGAAGGTAAGTGATTTCTAGAAGCCCTTGCTTTTGTTTAGACCTCATAGAATACCTCCGTTTTTTAAGACCTTAGTTATTTTTCAATGGTCATGAGTTATGAATCTGAATGTAATCAAAAGTAGCATGACTTTTGTAGCAACACAAGTTCATTTGAGCATTACCAGCAAAAACCAAGAGGGTTTCCAATCGGCTTGCTACCGATTTCTCTAAAAACATTCTAGCGTTAGCTTAACCTAAAATTTAGACCATCACCAGAGCGTTGTTGCACGAAAACATCTTCAGGAAAGCATCCCAACAGTAGAAAATCCTAACCATATGTTCGAATTACTGATATTTAATTAGTGAGTTAATTTGTTATCAAGACACAGAGTAAAGAGATGATTGAGAGAATGCTCTGCTCTTGTCATATTCAAGGGCAGCATCATAAAAAATTAATTGTATAAACTGTGCTAAGTCTTTGGAAGATATTTTTTAATAAAATGTTTCAAGAAAGTTTCAGATAAATCTTGAATTTTGCAAATTGTATGTATTACTGCATCGAAATATTTTCTTTACAGTCAGCCAAATAAATATTACACTATTGAGTAAAGTATTTATAGTTATCTCAAGTTTTATTTGAAGTTTTTACTGCATATTATGTTCGAAGGCATTCTGTTTTTTGGATAACTCCAGGAACGTTGCGCACAGCTAAGGCAACGTCGGCGAGCACAACCAACCGAAAGACAACCATTACCTGCTTTGCATCTGCACCTATCAAAAGATGGTACAAGTCCCCTGCCTCCAGGGTGGCAAAGAGCACCAAATACTAGGCGTTCGACAGAAGGGCAAGATCTAGGGGATAGTTCTGGCACATATGCTTATTATTATTACCATGTCCGAACTCGTCAAACTAGGTGGGATCCACCTGTATATCCATGGGACGCCGATCCTACGGATACCCTTCTTGGTGAAACCGGAGAGGATGACCCAGAAGCTCCTTACAATTGGGGATGTGCGTCGCGATTCGCTGTCACACACGAAGAAATTGAAGCTGTAAGCCATGCTATTATATTCTTGTGATTATGTTACTGTGTATAGTTTTATTCATTCTACAATTACTATTCAATGGAGTTCGTAGTACTGAATTAAGTTTATTCTACTTCATTCTTCAAGTACAACTTGGTAAACAAGTTTATTTTTTCGCCTTGGAGCATCTCCAAGACCATACGACTTCGAATGTTGCGTCTGATGTCTCATGAACTCAACTTGAATTGTTCTTAATTTACATCCAAGTTCTTTTTCCTCTTTCCCTTATCTAAACGGTGTTGAGAAGTCAAACGATAAACTGAAGCTTGTTCTGTGTTAAAATTTTTGTCTATAGTTCCAAAACTCACTCTTATGCACAAGAGGAATTCTTTAGAACCGTTTGTTCTGCTGTACAAAAGCCGATAATTTCCAAACCGAACTTATGTTACAGATGTATAATCGCGTCCGTCAACGAATATTGGAACGTCAGTGTATTGATCTTCTGCATGAATTGGCAGGTAGACCAGATGCTCCTCAGGATGTAACTGAACAAGGCTTTGCCATGGAAGTTAGTCCTTTTATTTTTCTCATGTGTTACTTTTTGTAAATTAAACGCTCCTACTGTTAAATCAGAGACGTACGAGTAATTAGAATAAGGTGTTTTATCCACTTGGAGTAACATTTTAATGAAGGTCAGGCTATGAAGGCCGTATTGCACGTATGAAAATAATTCACTGATATAGCATGTGTAAGATAGCCTCATCATTACAAGCTAGATTCAAGAACTGTTGAATATGTATGATAACTTTATCCAAACACCTAGATTAATATGGACCACAGCTTGTCATGCGAACTTGTGCGTAAACTGCACTTACGTCTTATAAAATTTATGAGGATTCTTGGAATTATCGGCTAAATAATCTGTTGTTTACCACCCACATATAGAATCGGGCGACCTATTTTGATAAATAGCATAATCGGGTTTTTTTTAATACATTAAAAATATTGCGACTGGCTAGATGAACAAACTACAATATTTTTATTTCAGTTATTCACTTTGGTTCACAATACGTTACGTGGCTTTCGTGATGCTCGATGTAAACTTGGTCGTATTGTTAACGATGAAGATTTATACTACTTAACAAAAAAGGTAGTTTATTCACTTTTGCTGCATACGATTGCTCTTTATAAGAATTCAGTTTCATACAAATGCTTTTAAGGGATCAGCCGTTAATGAACCAGTTTTTTAGATTATCCATTGTTGGAACAATCATGTAGAGTCTTGAATCGAAATGAACCACACTAGTGATTTCAGTAATTCATTGTGCAATATGTTTTAACATTATGAAATTACTGCTGAACCTACTAATTCATTCCTATTTTTCCAGCTTGCTCAGGCCGTAATCCTAAAAGAAATACAGAAGTTTCATCAAACCCAGGCAGCGAACACTTCTTTATTTTCAACTGTTCTTACTCCTGAACTTCCTTTGACAGTGCGATCAAGAGTTACCACTTATGTTAGGCGATACATGGAGTCTAAGGGAGCATTCTATCGTCGCCGAGTTCAGCTAATACCTGCAACGGGTATTTCTCGTCCGGAACAGGCAGCTCATCTAAAACCAGATCCTGCTATTTTTAAGCCATCTGTCAACAGTAGCATGCGTTCTCGACCTGTAACGCATCCTCAGAATTTCAGCAATGTATCTCACCATACAAATTATGTAAACAATGCTTTTACGCAATCTGCTCCTCCCATTAATACTACTGCAGTTATTCCAACGCGCCGCTAACAACTCAAAAGTATTGCTTCCGTCAATAATATCTGTAATTGTATATTTTTAGAGGGTTCCTTCATTCAAGTTGCTATTTTGGATTTTTATCCACTTGTTGCTTTATAGTTAATTTTCCTATCATAGTGGTCAAGTCTAAAGCAGGTGTTAGCACCGCATATGTTATCGTCCTGTCCTACATGAAAGTGGTTATGTCGGATACTCGATAACTAGCTTGCGGTTTAAATATGGAAATTATTAATTTTTTATTTAAGTCTTTTGTAAATAAACTTACAAACTGATTCCTTTGCAAGCTGTTTAGTGTTATTTTTTCCCAAGTCTATGTCCGTATGTTGTTATTGCCCCATAATCTCATCAAGTATGCAATTTTCCGGTTTTCTAACTTTTGCATGTATTTAACAAAAAGTGCAACGGCAGGTGTGATACGGGTGTTAATATAAGATTTGTACTATTGATTTGTAATAAAATTATAATGAGAATATTTTGTAAATTTTTTTACGTTTCCGATGTAATAATACAATTTTGGTTATGCTGAAAGTTTGTATTCTGATAGTATCCTAATGTACTGCTATCATCATTCAGAATATGGATTCGGTGGTGAAATCATTACACTCATTACAGTAACAGTGGAGATTCTAAAATCAACGATAGCAACCTTATTCGTTAATTTATTGTAGAAAAGGTACACAGAAAGTATTGATAATGTACACAACACTAATAGTTGATTGTTCGAAAGCATTTCAGTAGCAGATTATATCATCTCCATATCCATCCTAGTAAGTCCAGCATAAATTTCACTTGGTAGTCTGTGCGGAATACGACCAACATACGCTATCAAGGCCTTTGCTCTGGAGCGAATTTCAGAAATAGCCATTTTTGAAGTGCTGTCCGCTCGCGTTCCATTGCTGAAAGTGTTTCAATAAGCCAAGTGGGTACGAACATTAAACATTTTTTATCGAGTTAATAAAAAGTAGTTTCAACATCTATTTGATTTATCATGGAACTGACCTTGTGACAGATGTAACTCGACCACACTTCGCTGATAAGCAACGCATTAAAGCATATAATGCCCACGGCAGAGGGCGGCGTACAAGATCTGGGAGTTGCGAGAACAGCATCGCACAAAATTCTACATTGGAAGCTTGCGAATTAATTGGGAATAAACCCAACTGATCTATATGGTCAATAGCAGCTTGCCACCTTTCTGCATCAACTAAGTCGAAGAACGCGGCCAAATCGAGGAGGTAAAATAATATTTTTATAGCCGAGGTAGATCCAGTCACACTTGTTTCCATGTCATTTTGGATGAGATAATTACTATCATCTGATGATAAGCCTAGTCGGCGGACTTTATGAGCAATCTGTTTAACAAGAAGACAGTTGAAATAATTATACTGTTTAGGTCGTAAATATGAATTGATATACTTAATTTAACTTAAACATTAAATCGAAAAATTTTCCTCCCTATTACATTCCTATATTTTATAAAAACTATTTACAGGAGCATAGGGACACTTTTTGAACATGATCACTACTTTACTGAGTAGTCAGTCAAAAAAGAGAAATAATTTGTGGAAATATATGTATATTTTAAGCAATCTGGTATCTTCGACACTGCGCACATGTCCAGAGTGATACAAACTATTAACTTTGGATGCATTCATTAACACTTGTTAAATAAGTAGAATATATTTCCGAGCTCTTATGAGGCTTCATTATAAAAACATTCATTACACTTTGTTTACCGATTTTATATTCGTTTAACTTGTACTTATTTAACTATAAAGATAACCTTTTTTCCAGACAGACTGTAATAATGACTGTTTTCCCCTGTCGAGATCTTGATGTTCATGCACTAGGTATATCATGCGATGCTGAGATTATCGAAAAGACTAATTATTGAAGACGAACATATAATTACTCTTGAATATTAAGTTTGGATGTGCGCCAAAGAGGAGTTTGTGACGATAATGTATACTAATCGATAATAATTATTAAGAAAATTTAATGTATTTCTTCATCCCCAAACCTTCAAGCACTATGAATATTAAGGTCCATCGTGGTGGACAGATTGTAGTAAAATAATTGTCGTAACATGTACGAAATACGATAGTGAGAGCAAGCATACAAAAATGCAGAATAATGTTTGATGGAAATCTGTCTTACCTCTGTCGCAAGTCTCAGAAGTGAAGTACGATCCAATTGTCCTCCGGATCGGGATTGCGTAATTGGTGTTGACCCAAGATCAGATGTTACTATGACACTTGATAATACAGTATTTATCAAAGTAACAGAAACTAAAACGTCAGGTTTAGGATCTCCACAGGAAGAAGCTAATAAATATAAATGAATAGCTTCAACTACTTGACCAGTGGACTCAAAAACATCAGCAACAGTACGGATCAACTCTCGACGGGATTCTACAGACCTGCAAAAGCGGTCGATAGCACCAGGCTAAAAGAACCGATATTTGTAAGCATTTATATGTTGATGTAAGAAAGGCATATTAATTGAACGAAATATCAGTTGTAAGATGAAATCTAAAATTATCTAGAAGGTGGACTATACTCAGGGACCTGCAGAACCCAGTAGCTATATCATCGATATTGGGACGCGTAGATCCATGAAAGATGATATAAGATTAGGTATTATAATATAAACGAAACAAAAATACTCACCAATCCCTCCCCCCTATATTTACTTAGTCACGCGACTTGACGTCGAATATTTTAACATTCCTGATGAACAGTTAAATGTACTAATTTTACTTTTTATGTGCATTATACGTCTATGATATAGACTACAACTTTCTTAAGTTAGGCAAATATGCTTGGACATGTCAGGAAACACGTTTGTTCCAGTTATTCAACACTAAACAGGTAAATGATAAATAATGGCTCGACCACATAATTAAAAAAAGCCTTCTCAGTGCTGCGAAATAGGTCGGAACCGAATTCGCACTACGTTCTCATTAACTATTCGGCCCAGACGACGACAGGCGAAGATAATAAAAAGCATGTCTTATGGTAAATACGACTGATGGCATGGCGAAGAACATGTGTGCATTTATGAGAATGTGAGTTTCGGAGCGCTACGCGAATTCAAATGACGAGTCGAAACTAATTATTCTAACTGATTCTTATCTCTTTTTGAAGACATATTGCATTTCCCAACAGTATTACAGCTTGTTACGACCAGAATACTATCACTGTCCAATACAATATATCAAAAAAGAGGTTAGTTATCTGCAACGTGATCTAGTCTCAATAGGTTAGCCATCAAAAAGTGACAGGTTCTAAAAAACATACACTCAATGAGGATCTCAGGTAAATTATAACTTACTTTACGAATATCGTTTTCACCAACACATCCCAAGAGTAAATCTAACTGTAAACAGTAAAATGAAAGTACACTGGTTACGACCATGTAATACAGGTGAATATCGTTAAGTGGACTTTCAAAAATCACTCAATTTAGTATATAAACTGCAGCACGAACTAATATGGTTTTAGATAGAATGAATTCATGATTATCCACAGAAATTGGAAATCTGAAACATTACATTATCTCGGTGTAATAAAAGTGTTGAGTACCTCCCAATTAAGTTTTAGATTTTTGAAGTCACAATCTGTGTGTATAATTTTAGTACACTTCAAGAAATTTGATTTAATTTTTAAAAAAAGAAAAATACTAGTAACAATACATAACGGTGTTCGTTGTGAATTTAAAGGTGACAAAGACAGTAATCATGATAAGTTTACAATAAAATAAGACAGTGAACGATTGTTAGAATACAATGTGCTGAACTATATGCAATGCCGATTGGTAATAAGAAGCTTAATTAAGAAGTAAAAGAACTGTAGATAAGTTTTATAATAGTGATAGTAACGTATGGACGAAAATCATTATATCAGCGAACAGAATAACAATGAGCATAACTGATAAAAATGTACACTCATTTTTATTATTAAAAAAACAAATCTCCATGTAACGGAATGCTATTTTGAAAGTGAAAAACTGTGACAGCATACGTCTATATGATAGCAAATTGTGGCAATTGAATGCTTTTCCTCACATCTAGAGAACCATACCTGAGGTTTCTACTTGCAACATGTATTGGCGATATAACTTAATACACAGCGTCGTGACTTAACAACCTGAGATAATTTTTAGCGACAGAAAAGTGAGTTCAAGCAGATGGATTTATTTCATAAGCGTAGCATACAACCGACCAAATAAATTGACTACAGAAACTCGTTAATCATTGCAAAGGTAGTAGAAGAATATTTCCATTTTGCAAAACATGTATAAAAGAAACAGATCAACAGTCGAATATACTAATACTTATAGTTTAGACAAGAAAGATTATGACCAGACAATTAAGTAATGAAAAGTGGTAACTAGGTACACGTTCATGAACTCGTCTGTGAGTCACAACTGGTGTGAAAAAGATGGTAATATTACCCGCCTGCTCAGACCAATGTGGAGTGGAGTAAAAGTTTGACTAAAATTTTAGTGCTTAGACCACTAAGCCAATGATATTATAGCGAATAAGTCGGAGGAATGAACATGTATCTTTTTTCACTAAGTAATTTGTCAAAATACATTTAGAATCTTGGACCTTAATAGGTTAGGAATCGTGATCCAACTATTAGTTTATGCTAGAAAGTATTGCACGATACAGATCTTTGTAAACTATGCATATTATTTAGCAATAGGACTATTTTTTAAAATAGTTTCGAAAAACCTACCTCCTTGTTTGCTAAAGCCAATTCACAAACACATTGGACGAACAAATTTTGACCTTTAGCAGTCAAATGTTTGAGAGACGTATTGTATAAACCACTTGGAATAGTTGCATTAGAATCTTCTTCAGGTGACTTTTCAGTAGTAATTGGGATGTCAGAAAGCATGTAATAATACATAAGGGCTTTTTCTGGATCAGTGAATTCAAATTTCCGCGTATACAACATAATTAAACGAGCCAAATTAAGCCTGCGAAACCCTGTAGGATCGTAATCATTACGAACCACTTGGTATAATAAAAAAGTACAGAATGAAAACTTATTAACTACTGAGCTGAAAGATGAAAATGTACTGCCTCTTATAAGTAAAAAAACAGTTAAGGTAGAAATAATGTTAGGGAACATAAATCAACAATTCAGTCCGTAAAAATAAATTTTAGAGCAAACTAAAAGCTCCTAAAAAACTAATTATGGTGTAGAAAAATTGACTTAAATTATATTCGTACTAGGCGGTTTACTAAGACTATCATTATAATACACTAACAAACCCACGTTATAGAGATTAATGTATAAGCCTATTAGATGGCAAATTTAAATAAAAACTAATTCACAATCTCATTAGGGAAAAAATCCAGAAAATTATCTTTATGAAAACTTTATATTAAGTTGTATTTGAAAGTCATACTTTCCACTTTATTTGTTGAAACAAACATGGTTTGAGTGAGAGCTGAGTGGTTTTAGGAATATATGCTTTGAGAAAAAAAGATAAAACTGAACCTCATTCAACA